TGGAAAGACTTTACAAACCATCCAGCTGTCCCTTTCCTATTTTGTAAGTGAGGAAACATGAATGCAAGAATGGAGAGTCTGGTGGCAGACTATCCCTTCAGTAAGGCACCCAGGTTTCTGGCTACCTTTTTCTTCAGTATACACTGCAAATGTCAAAATGCAAAATGCTGATCTACAATTTTGATAAGATCTCTAGATTTCCAAAAGAATGTCCTAAATGTTGCTTATGAAAGTTCAGAATTTTAATTCATGGCACAAATCATCATATTTTAGAGATTTCCAAAGGGTTTATGCTTTTGAGAAAAAGTATTCATGATAGTCACATTGTGGAAAAAAATCTTTTTAATTTTTTTTATATACCAACTCTGATTACTTCACATTATGAGATATTTCCAAATTCCATGAGTCATTTATAAATAGATAAAAATATTTGGTTTAGAATGATTTTTCCTCTCCTTGTAATTGCTCTTTTTCTCTTTTTCATGATTTACTTCTCTGTCTATTCAAGCTCATGAAATGTCTTCTCCAACTCTCTCCTCATCAATGTAAACAGATATTTTGCAATAATTTTAGAATGGGAGTGGACCTAAATATTTTCATTTCCTCAACTCCCGTAGTGTTAGTGTGCAAATAAATAATGGACTAATTTTCATTTGGGGCCTGGAATATGGTGGGATGGGGCCCATGCGGCTATTTTTCAAAGAAATTCCATTTGGGATCACTGGAAGCTGCCTCAAAAACATAGGGAACAGGCATGTTTTGGGGCCTAGAGGCTCCATTAATTTTCCTCCTAAACTTCAACAAGGAGCAAAGGGAGTTGCATCTTGGATTTACAGTCTTAAGTCGCAAAATTGTTCCCATTTGCTTTCCTTCATGGATGCCCACAGCAGATTTCAAATGCTCAACGTAATTTATTCTGGTATATTAAATTCAAAAATAGTCCTGAACTTGTATGATAGTCATCAACTTGAGAAGAGGGCACAGTCTTCTGAAATATTTTATTCTATTCATAGTGTTATGTTGGAATTAGATTTCAGAGACTGCGAGTCTTATCACTGGCATTAATCCTTGAAGAAAAGATGTGTTCCTCCAACAAACACTGCGGTAATTTGGTATAACGCTCCAGTGAGAGACATGGGAGCAAAATAATGAGGCTAAGACAAGGTTCCTGCTCCCCATTGTCTGTGTGATCTGCTCAAGTAACCAGATTTCTCCATTTCCTGATGAATACAGCGAAGATGGAAATCCTCACCTGCTTCTCTCACAGGACTGCGGTGAGGCTCACAGGCAAAGATCTCAAGGCCCTTCGAGGACTCTTTAGGTAAAGAGTTACACAAATGCCAAGAAAGAAATGCCCTGAGTCACTAGCTCAGACAACATGTACTTATTTATTCCATATAACCCCATAGTTTTGGGGATCATATAAAGTATAAAATCAGGTACTCTGTAAAAATTGAGAAATATTTCTATAACCAGTAAGTTTTAATTGATTATTATTATTATTATTTTGGCTTCTTGATCTTCCTTTCCCTTGTTTTCCTGCCTGGAATAAAGATGACTGATGGTGATAAAGCAGCCGTATGAGTATCTGAAGGATCAGTCATACATTAAGTATGACAAAATGAGAACTAGAATCAATCTTGTTCTTCACTGTTTTCTTCAAATAATTAATCCAACCTTGAAATGCACTCTTAGACTTCTACTTAGGAAGGCTATTATTGAAAGAATCTGTACGTGGAGATAAATGGACTCACATAAGTGGATTGTTTGGCTCTATCTAGGGTAGTAATTCTCAAATGAGGAAGGAGTTGGTGAAAGGAGAAAGGATTTGTAGTAATTTACCAGCATGATGTGTCACTTTCCCTATCACATTTGATATGACCAGCAGGAAAAGGAACTACTTCTCCTCTCACCAGGATGAGAAGTGCTGTGACAATGAGTCTCCATTATTACTAAGAATGTTGCATTCTTGTGTATGTTAAGTCACTCAGAAAGAAAGGTTAGAAAATGCTTCTCCAGAGAGGCCTATTATAAATCATAAAACAAATGCTTGATAGTCTTGGAAGACCTGGAATTGCTACATACTCAGTCAGTCTGAAGGAAGCATGTGTGAAATATCTCAAAGTGCAACCACCCAGCATCAAAAGATGCTTGTAATTTCAGTGAGGGAATTGGTGAAGCTGGGCTAAAAGAATAGATAGCACTGATTTTAATAAAAGAATCTTAGTGTTGGAGGATGCCTTAATGGCTAGCCACTTAGATATCTCATCTAAGGCAAACTTGATCTCTATTAGATTGTTCAGAGATTACATCAAATGTTTGCTTGAATGCTTCCACTGATTAGGACATGTTTATTTTATAAAGCAGTATGAAAAAGATTTGGTAACTGGAAAGTCTTTCTTTACCATGGACTTAATAGAGTAGTATCTTGTTACTATATACCATTTATAACATACTGTATTTAGTTAAACAGATCACATGATCAGTTTTGATTTAATATTCAAAAAATGATGAATGATTTTGAAATGATAGTTTTACCTGTTTCTGAGCACTTTTAGATCTACTCAAAGATTATATACACTTGTGTGAAGTTTCACAATTAGATCTACTCAGAGATTATGTACACTTGTGTGAAGTTTCACAATTCCACTTTGATCAAGCACTCTTTCAAAATGTTACAATTTATTCACTCAGAAATGGTTGCTGAGCCTTTATTATCTACTGGTCACTGTATTATGTACAGAAGGATCAGTATATACATTTTCCTGGCCCTTATAGATCGAATAACTCAGTAATTTGCCCATCCATGGGTCCTCCTTTTAGTTTTGATAGAACACAGAGAAAGAAGTAAATATTTCCTCAATAATTTGATTATTACATTGTTTCATAAGTGTCTCTTCTCAAAACAAAATATGTCCGATTCCTTCAACTGCTCCTCTTAGTTAGGGGTTTTGAAACTGTCCAACATCTTCATCACTTTTTTCAGGAACCTCCTGTTTTGTCAAGTCTGTTTCTCAAGAAATTACATTCCAGTTCACACACCTGTGCACCCAGGATGGTCCAATTCATGTACAATGCACAGAGCTTCTTTACTTATATGAATAGAAGGCTAAATTACTATTAATGCATCTGAACTCATCAGTCTTAGTTTCCCAGGGCAATGATGTCTCACGCTTATTCTGTAGTTAACTAAAAATACAAAAGCACCTTCTTACGGGTCACACTTACATGCTGGAACTTAGTGCATTCCTATTAAATTTTACTTCCTTATATACATCATTATTAAATCTTTTGAGATCTTTATTAATTTGAATCTGTAAGGATCTTTCCCAGTATCACATTATAAGCATATTAAATAACTGTGCACTACATCTTACTGATAAAAATTTTAATCTGAACAAATTCAAAGACAAAAATCTAATAATACTTTATCCAGAAAAATTAGTCTTAACCTGCTAATGCTACACTGCAACACTGCACTCATTACACCACATTATGCGTTGCTTTTATGCCACTCATTTATGCCAAAAGTGGCTAATTGTGGGCTAGATGCGGAGATGAAAAATGAAACCATGTGAGTTAATAAGCTAGGAATTCAATGTGTTACCAGATGATTGCACCATGGCCGGTGCTCTACCTGTAAGGACTAAGGGGGCCATATAATAGGGTGCCCTCAATTCAGCCCAGGATCAGGCAGAACCTCAAAGGGCATCCAAACTCATGGTATAACAAAGGACTTGAGCAGAAATTTTCTGGGGCCAGTAGGAGTTAAAGAAACATAATAGCACTTCCCCAAAGTTCTATGGTGGAATAATATCCATTTTGGGTCTAATCAATCCTTCAAATCTATTCTGAAGTTGAGTAGTGAATTTACATAATGCCGATAATCTTCTATGATACAAACATTGTAAGACACTCTAAGTTACTTGGTTACCAGCTAATTTTGCCTGAATCTACTTTTCTGGTCCCTGAATATTTAGTAGATGAAGTTACACTTATACATCACCATTAGGAATTATAGAAGTGGATATACTGATGAGAAGAACTAGACCCTCAAAGGAACTGATAGTCCAGTGAGGGAGGCAGAGCTACACATATCTAATAAAAGTAAGTGAGCGTTATTTTCTTGTCAATGGACAAGCACTTTGTGAAGAGCTGTCCCATATTTGTGCAGTACTAAAACAGTTAGTTAATTGAGCCTCTAAAAGTCACTTCACTGGGAAGAAAAAATAATAGTATAGCATTGGTTATCATCCCCTCTTCTAAAACAAAAGACAAATTATTTTTTATGTTTTACCTAGGTTCGTTGTTAAACCACATAGCTCCAAAAAATTACCACAAAAGATTTATCAAATGTATCCCATATCTTTGCATTTAAATCTGCAAAGACTTGGTTTTTCAAAAGTTCAATCAAAGTTTTTGTAACTTTTCTAGAACAAAAGAGAAAAACTGTCTTTTATTTTGTTATGAATATTCAGATACATTCCTTTACCTTTCAGTAAAGAAAAGTGTTTCAGACAGCTGTTTCTTCATCAGAAGAATTAGTTTTATGAATAAGAAGTATAAAGTTGAGAAGCTATGCTGTACCTTTTTAAAAAAATGTCCCATCAAAAGAATCATTTCTTTTTTCTTGTAAAAGAAAATTTAATTTCTGTTTTAGAATTGCACATATATTTTCTTAATGCAGAAAATCAGTTCACACGATTAAAAGGAGAGTAAAAATTCTCTGCCTGCCTGATAGATTCAGACAGCCCATTCTGCCATCGGCATTCTTTTATCTCTCTTGCAAAGATATCTTTTTGCAGTCGAAGACCAGGAAAAGCCTGCATTTAACAGTCCTGGAAGTGACTTATTTTCTCAGAACCTAGACAATAACTTCAGCACTAAGAGCAGCTGAAGGGGTTAACACTGGAACTTGGCTGGGTGTCAGTTAAACTTTTTTCTCTGGCTCTGCCCGGGTTTCCCCTTGAAGGGATTTCCCTCCTCCTCTCAGCAGCGACCCTTTATAAAGAAGGAACTTTCTATTTCACTCACACTAGCCTTCCTGGCGTTAGGAGCTGCAGGCTCTTCCCAGGCACTTTCAGGTTGGGTGGAAGTAAGGCTTTGGAACCAGTGTTTTCTCATCACAGAAGCAGCTTTAAAATGCCTGGGAAGATGGCCATGATCTTTGGAGCCTCGAATATACTTTGGATAGTGTTTGCAGCCTGTAAGTTCTTCTTGATTTATTCCAAATGTTAGCATTCCATTTAGCTTTGGTTTTGGCTTCAGTCAGTTCTACTGTGATAGTGAGGAAAAGAAATAGGCTTTTAAACAATAGGAAAAATAATTTCACCAACTTTTTAATGTGCTGTTGTGCTCTGATGTATACCATTATATTGTCACACTCAGAGCTGCAAATTGATGTTTTTAATGCCTTTTCTTTTTCTAAAATCAAGCGAGTAATTTGGAGTTTATCTTAGTAGGGCTATTGGTTTAGCTTCCTGTCCTTGATAATAAGGTCAAATTTTGCAAATGACAAAATAACTTTGATAAATAAGCATCAAGACAGGAAGTGAGAGTTCTTATAAGTGAAGGTGATTCTGACACCTTCTTTGGCAGAGACCTTCATGCTTTTTGGCCTTTGTGGAGTTACTTAAGACCGTTAGAAAAAGGTTATCCGAGCTATATTTTGAATATTTTACTGAGACATAGAAAAGGTAGTAGGAACTAGACAAACCAGTGGTAAATTTGCTTCACTCTTTCTTGCTATTGCAGCTCAGGCTTTTAAAATTGAAACCTCTCCGGAATCCAGGACTCTTGTTCAGATAGGTGACTCGGTCTCGCTGATGTGCAGTACCACAGGCTGCGAGGCCCCATCTTTCTCGTGGAGAACCCAGATAGACAGCCCCCTGAATGCCAAGGTTAGGAATGAAGGGACCAAGTCCACGCTGACCATGGATCCAGTGAGTTTCGAGAACGAACACTCCTATCTGTGCACAGCAACTTGTGGATCCAAGAAAGAGGAAAAAGAAATAAAAGTGGACGTCTACTGTAAGTGATTTAAAGAACTGTTGCTTTTCTCTCAATTGTGCTTTAAAATAGTTTTTTAAAGATGTATTTCAAAGAAAACTTTTTAAACGTATTTATGTCCAGAATCCTGGCTGTCAAACACTTGCAACAAGCAAGTTTGAGACTGACGATGGCAGCACTAATTCAAGTTTTTCCTTTATTTCCATCTCAGCTGTAAGCCAGGTAACATTAGATTCCACCTCTCTGGGCTCCAGTTTCTGTAGCTAAGAAAATGAAAATCTCTAAGGTTCGTTTTTCAAAATTTCCATTTGATTATATCCTTACATGTTTATATGCTCATGCATCTAAATGATTTATAAATTGCACCCCACAGAGATTTTTCATTCATTTATTCTGATGCAATTTGGTGCTTTTAAAATCAGTTTAAAGATTCAGCACAAGATCTATCAGTTGGTAATATGTTTCAGTATAAAAGTTTTATCCTTAAATATAATAAAAAATACATCTAAACATTTCACTCATATGGCCTTGGTATCAAAAAATTTAGGAATTTCGTTGCCATGAATCCTGGGTGCTTAGGCTCAAAGGTACTTGTATAATGGATTTAGTTGGCATCGTGAATGCATATCTCTAGTTTACCAGGCTACCAAAAATGCATTCTAGTCCACTCTCAAGTCAGTAAGGAAAGATGAATCAGAAAACTTAACTTCATGTAAATTATTGGACATTGGTTTTTGATGGCCTTTTTATATAAAAAAACTGTACTCATGTATTATACTCATGAATAGTAATTTCTTCATGAAGACCTTATTTGATGAGCTGATAGTTGTGCTGGTTTCTTTTTACCGTACTGAATTCCAGCTTTGCCCAGTAACCTTAATTGAAATTTCAACAAGCCCCATGTGTTGTTAAAACTTCCCAGGAAACTGTGCCAGGAAGGCTGCTTTCAATTATGCTGGTTGTACACACATACTTTATGTCTGTCCAGCCTCCTGAGTGCCTTGGAAAGTACTCTTATATAAATACAAAGAAAAGTAGCAAGTTCTTATATTACCTGCCATAAAATTGAGTAGACAGTAAATATCTTTCTTACAGAATAGAAAGGAAAGAAATAATTGTTGGAAAATTTTGTTTTCAGACAACAAAGTAGTGTTTCTTTGTCTTTTATCTGTAAGTAGCAAATAGATTTTAGCAAAAGAGAAAAGAGGACAGTCCTGGTTTTAATTATCTTGCCAGGGAGTTTTTCTCCAAGAATGTCTGCTTCTCATTATGTTTAACAGTTCTGCTTCCATTCCACATTTGATTATAATATTTTTTGAACCTTTGTTTCCTTTTTACTACACAAAGTCTCAAATACACTAGAGTGTTACTGTGATGACAGAATATAATGAGACAGGTAACCCTTACATAGGAGGCAAGGAAACCGAGTATTCTTCTGTTCTGAAAGGGTCAGTGTAGTACTGGTTGGGACATTAAGTTAGATTTTTCAAGAAGAAAATCCTAAATTGAAGGACTGTATAAGTGTGCTTTTCTGGTGGGTTAATGCTTGTCGCAAGCTGTTTTTTTTAGAAACCAGCTACTTCAAGTTACTTTTTTTGTTTCTTAGCATATCTTTGCATCCCTTACATGTAAAACTGATCTATATATGCTCTGACTAAAATAAGAAAATATGATGTGACAATATTAATCCACAGTAACAGTATGAAGTAATAGAAACCCTAGGTTTAAACGCCAGCTTTAACATTAGTAGATGTGTGACTTTAAGCAAATTATACAGATATATCAAGTCCAAGTTTTACTATCTGTGTAACATTTTCTTTATCTCTTAGGATTATTGTCAAGATGAAACATAATAGTTTATGTTGAATCTATAGCACAGAGACAGGCACATATAAGTTTCAACAGCTGTTAGATTTTTTTCCTCTTCTTTTGCTCCAATAAGTTGCAAGCTTTTACACAGGGTCAAAACTGAAGAATTCTCTAGATGGTTGATTCTGATTCTTGCTTCTGGAACCCAACCCAAATCACAGAAAGCTCTTTAAGTGATTGGTTATGCTGCACTAAAACTGTATTAACAAAACAGTAGATTTAACACTTGCATTGTGTTAAACTAGTAAAAGATTTATGAACATGAGCAGAAATTCCACTCATAATTTGTTTGACTTTACAGCTTTCCCTAAGGATCCAGAGATTCAACTGAGTGGCTTTCCGGAGGTTGGGAAACCCCTCACAGTCAAGTGTGTGGTCCCTGATGTGTACCCATTTGACAGGCTAGAGGTGGAGTTACTGAAAGGTGACTCTCGTATGAAGCATCAGGAATTTCTGGAAGATATGGAGAGAAAGTCCCTGGAAACCAAGAGTCTTGAAGTAGCCTTTACTCCTACCCTTGAGGATACTGGAAAAGCACTTGTTTGCCGAGCACAATTACACATGTTTGAAACCGATTCTGAAGAAGCAAGTCCCAAAGAAAGGGAGACTTACAGAGAGCTACAAGTCTACAGTAAGTAGTTGTGTGTCTAGTCTTTATAGGAATTCAAACTTGGATGTATGTTACAACACATTTAACAACTAGGTTAACAAGAACACTATTGTTTTTATTTCATTTTATTTACTGAGAACATAATATTTTCCAGTAGTACAATTCAGTGGAAAGAACAATGGCTTTGGACTGAGAAGACTTGAATTTGATTTCTAACTCTGTGTGACCTTAAGCTACTTAATTTCTCTAGTTCTCAAAGGGGAAACAGTGTTGCTACCTGATGGCGTAGTAGGAAATAGGCTTCAAGGGTAAAACATTTTTAATTGTGTCTTGTAAAAGTTCTTATAGTAAGCTTTGAAATATTAGTTGCATAGATACAGAAACTTTTTGAAATGACCACTTTCTCTGTGTGTACACCATGTGTGTGTATGCATACCTGTGCTCACACATGCATATGTGCCTTGGCTGGAGAGAATGTAATGGGGTTTGATTGCTTTCTACTTCCTGAGAGTACCAGGGGACTTGAAGCAGGCTTGTTGTCTTAGGGTTGTGTCCAAAAGGACTCACTGTGCTCTGAGACTAAAATGCTGTGTTGTTCTTTGGGTGATACATTTAAAAGAACTCTTGATAACTAGTGCATGTTTAGCCCAAAGAAAATGTGATGGAAAGATTTTAACAATATTTTGAAAGGAACAGTCAAGATAGGATATATTTTCCCCAGAGAATATAAAACTTGGGGAAGAGAGCTCTAATTAGATATTTTAAAGACAGATGTATGTGAAAGATTTATTTTCTAAAATCAGAGGACTGACTATACCATGACCAGTATGTAAAAGTTAAGTTACAAAGAGAAATTTTTCTAACAATTAAAGTTGTTCAAAAGTCAAGTTCACTGCTAGGCATGGTGAGACACATCTACACTCAGCACTCTGAAAGCTCAGGTGGGAGGATTGCTGGGACCTCAGGGTCAACCTGGACCTCATTGTGAGCTCATGGCCAACCTGCGCTACAAAGAGAGACCCTGTCTCAAAAAAAAAAAAAAAATCAAGTTCACTATTTTGTAAGACAATGAGTTGCATCTCTCAGAAAGTGTTGAAACTGATGGAGGTCTTCATAATGTGTTTGGGTAGATGATTGGGCTACATGATCCTAAAGTGGCCTTCATAATTTCTGAATATCTACAACCATCTGGAAACATTCAACATTAAAAAAAGATGAGTTAATCAGAAGCTAGATAGACTATTTTTATAATGACTCAGCAGTTCTTTATACTAATTTGGCAGAAATTTGGAGTGTACTAACTCTGTCGGATGGAGCTGATATTTAGCTATTAACATTATGCCCTCCCTTTTCAGTCCTACCCAAGAACACAGCTATACATGTGCATCCTTCCACCAGTCTGCAAGAGGGAGACTCTGTGACTATGACATGCTCCAGTGAGGGTTTGCCAGCTCCTGAGATTTTCTGGAACAAGAAACTAGATAATGGGGATCTACAGCTTCTTTCAGGGAATGCAACTCTTACATTAATTGCCATGAAAGTGGAAGATTCTGGAATTTATGTTTGCCAAGGAGTCAATGTGATTGGGGCAAACGGAAAAGAGATTGAATTAATTGTTAAAGGTGAGTAGAATGTGAGAATAAAGAATGGTAAGTGTGCTGTCATGGGAATTTAAGCAAAAATGACATAATATAATGCTGGAATTCCTTCTCTGGATTTCACTGATGACCTAGCTGCTGCCACTGATGACCATGTGATAAATATGTATTTATTACACTCATACATTTGAAAGTCTTTTTTTCCCCTGAGCTTCTTTGTCTCTGCTTTTTGGATTAATTGTTTTTTGTACCAGTGATTGAATTTATGACCTTGCACCTGCCAGGCAGGTGCTTATGCCACTGAGCCAAATCCTCGGCCCTGGATTAACTTTCGAAGTGCATCATTCCTTTACTTCCGTGATTATTGGTTTCTCTATTCCTTCTGTCTTTTGCATATTGATATGTTTCAGGTTACCACATCTAGCATTCAGTCTTTTCTTCTCACTTCAGATAGTTAAGATCCAGACTATATGCTCGTTATTCCCAAATCGATGTTTTCATTCTGTAGCACTGGATGTGTTAATTCACCTCAAAATGATCCCTGAAATCTGAGTTTTTCATGACCCTCTTTTGTTGCCTTATTTCATCAACTCTCACTTGGACTTTTGGAAGAAGTTCATAAATAGCAGCATTCACTATACATCAACCATGTTTCTGACACTTTATATAAGCTATCTATAATCTTTAAGAAATAATAACAAAGTTGTAATTATTTTATACACATTTTACAGATGACAGAATGAAGTCTCATAAAGATTAATAATCATATCATCTATTGATCATATACCTAGTATTTTCCAGGAATTCTATATTCTATTTTATATATTATTATTTCAGTCTTTACCATAACTCTATAAGATATTTACTGAGGCTCAACATAATTCATCATTTTCTAAGGTCAAATAGTATTTACAGACTCATTGTCTTTTCAATTGTACCTAATTGTTATTAATTTTTAATTAACATTTTAAATTGATTAATCATAATGTATATGTGTACAGAATATAATACGATGTTTTGATATGTTTATACAATGTAGGATAGTTAAATCAAGCTACATAACATATTCATCATCTCACTTACCCATTTTGTGGTGAGACATTTCAAATTTAACCTGTTTTTAAATATAAAGTACACTTTAAAATTTAACTATAGTCACCCCATATTGTAACATAGCTCAGAAACTTACTTCTCCTAACTGAAACTTTATTCTTTTGGCCAAAATCTCCCCATTTTCTTCTCGCCCCACCAAACTTCTGGTAACCACCATTCTACTGTCTACTATGATTTTGATGTTTCTAGATTCTATGTGTAATGAGATTATGTAGCTTCTATCTCTCTGTGTATGGTTTATTTCACTTCATCTAATATCCTTGAGGTTCGTCTGTGTTCTCCCAAATGGCAGGATAAAGGCTCAATAGTGTTCCATTGTGTTTTATAACTAATGACTTTAAGTGACCACCCTGTATCCTTCTGTTCCCAAGATAACCAATCCTACACAGTGGTATCATAGTTAATTACCTGGAGCAAAAAATAGGTGCTTGTTTCTTACAAATCTAGCCATATTTCTTCCAAGTGTCACATATATCTGAACAATTCTAGTCAGAAACTACCTTTGCAGCTTTGTTGATGCTCTGTGTCTTGTTCATACTGTTCTCCTGCCTAGAATGGACTTTCCCCTGCCTCCAGCTGGCCAAGTCCTAGCCACCCTTCAGGACAAAGCTTCTGGAAGCTTCCAGGTTCCAGACTGTGCCAGGCAAAGCTACTTGCTTTCTCCTTCATATATACTCAGGAATCCCTCATATATACTCAGTTCAACACATACTAATTAAGAGCTTTTCTCCAAGAATCCAAGAGTCTGCTTGATCATGGAATACAGATATGAAACACACAGAGCAGGGACCCTGTGAAAGCCTACAAAGTAGGAAGGAAAGATGGACATGTAATTTAGTAAGAGCCAAAATGATCTATGTAAATGTGTCAGTTCGCTAAAGTATACGTTCCTTGAAGACAGGAACTGTGTATTTTTATGTCCATGTGAGTATGTGTGTATGCACATGAGTGGATGCATGAGGTTTAATGTTCAGGTACCTGACATAGCTTTTGACCGGCATACAGTAGGCTTTCAGTAAATGTTTGCTGAATACATGAGTAAACTGTAAACATGGGATACACAAATTTTTAAATATAAAATTATGAAGTTCAGCCTTAGACAATCAAAAACATAAAATTCAAACTTACTATCAGTAGATTAACATAATTAGGTATTACTTTAGCATTCTCAAGTGACCCGAAAAGTTATTACACTAATAAAAATATGTAAAGCCAGTCATCTATCCTGGAATTGTTCATTCCATTGTAAATGGGATCCGATTTCAGTGCCGAAAGGAAATGTGTTTTGTATTGGGAAGGGTTGTTTTGCATTTTGCATCACATGGGATAGTAACAATCTTAAATACTGAAGATGTAATTGAACCTTCAAAGACCTTTTAGTTACTTAAAAGAGTTCCTCCCCAAGGAGTCACAGTAATATATATGTAGCCAGAACCATTTACAGACAGGAAGCAGACATGCTTTCAAAGTTCCTCATTCTCACACTAGTGTGTGCAAAAAATTCAGAAATTTTGCTTATTGTTCTGGATGACCTTTCTTTTAAAGTCTAATAGCATATGAGTTTATTGAGGTAGTTAGAGGAGAGTCTTCATTGGAAAATACTGTGTCACCATTGCACAAAATTTAAAAAAATAACTTTTCCTAGCACAGATGAGAATCATGAAAAATGTATCATTGGATAATTTGTGTGTTGAAATTTCTTCCATCTCCTGCCTACTCTTTACAAAGAAGACTTTCAGTGAGTTTTGTGTATCTTCATCTGTCACTTTCAAGTGTTGCCCAACTGCTCCCAATTTCTTCTGCAGACTAAAGTCAAGCTTTAGGATTTACATTCTCCCAAAATTGCACCACCCGATCAAAATCTGTGCACTTGAGTACTTCAGATTTAGGGGCTTGACCTCACCCTTCAGCTTTAAGCCCCTGAAATAATGGCAAAATGTTTTTATGTTGCATCAAGAAAATTTTAGATATAACTCATGTTATCATTTTTAAGGCTTAATATTTTACTTTGCTTTCAGTGTGACTCTCAAAGGTGTAACTTTATGTTATTGAAACAGAAGCTCTAAGCATTGGTCCATTATTGATATGGTATCCAATTAGATGACATTTTTGGGTAGTTTATTTCTGGAACCTCCTTTAGATCTTATTTTATCTTTACATGAGGATAGCCTGATTTAGTTGTTTTAGCAACAGAAAAACTAGAATCTTCAATTAGAGCTACCTTGTATCAAGTCCTACAGTTAACACATATGTGTTTGAATTTTCTCTAGGAGATTTAAGATTATGGCAAGAGTGCATTAGCTATTGTTATTCTCTAATTATTTTGTTATAAAATTTTATTTTTTCATGGAAGAGTGCTTTTGAATTTTTATTTATTAATATCTACGTATATTAATCAAACATTTTAAAGTTTCCTGTTGGAGAAAATAGAAGAAAGAGATAAAAGGAAAAGAAAGAATAAAAGCAGGAGAAAAGTAAGGATAGTACCAACCCAGCAATTATTGTGAGAAATAAATGAGGTAATACATATAAAGTGTGTCCTTAATGCTTGATATACAGGAACAATGGGAATTATTTGATCTATTATTCCCTGTTATAATGATCTGATAAACACATGGAAGGAATTGGATTATTGCAGTGAAAAAATGCCAATCACTGTCTTGACAAATTTTTATCTACATTTATTCTAATCAGGTGATTTGACAAACTTTTACTAATTTATCCTTAAGCAGTGTGATCTCATTTTGATGGCCCCAAAATAGAGAAGAGTAATTTGTTCTGGAGCCAGAGAGCTAAAAGAACATCAGAAAAAATAAGGACGACTTAAGGAACAAGATGAAAGAAAAAGACTTTTATTCGCTATTTCTGTTGTTTGTTTTTTCTCTTCAGAAAAACCATTTACTGTGGACATCTCCCCTGGACACCAGGTTGCCACTCAGATTGGGGACTCGGTTGTATTGAGATGTAGTGTCACAGGTTGTGAGACCCCATCTTTCTCTTGGAGAACCCAGAGAGACAGCCCTCTGAATGGGATAGTGAGCAGTGACAGGACCGAGTCCACGGTGACCTTGACCTCTGTGAGTTTAGAGAACGAAGATCATTACCTGTGTACTGTGACGTGTGGACGCAGGAAAATGGAAAAGGAGGTCCAAATGAAAGTCTACTGTAAGTGTTTTTCAAAGTTATGTATTTCTTTCTATGCTCTCACAGGAAAAAAATGTGAACTGTGGCAAGCTGTGAGATCCATTTGCTCCTAAAGGGAAATTAGCATCATGAATGGTTCCTGAATCACTAAACCAAAATAGTTTGTGCAACATAAATGCTCTAAGTCTTGTCTATGTTGCACATGCATGCAGCATGCACAGCCCTTGGTTGGTGACTCATCAGACTTCCTTACCATGCATTTGCTCACACTCCCTGCTCCCTGCTTCCCATTCCTTCTACCTGTCGGTGGGATTTAGAGAAGGGGTGAGAATAGTGACTGTTAGTGCCCATCAAATAATTGGGTGGGGGACAACACCACCCAGACAGCCAAACTAAAACAAAATGAGACCTGAGTCCACCATTTAAAAAGCACATTTGGAAAGCTGATAGGGAAAAATGAGGCAACTGAATATACCTGAAAGTCAAAAATGAAGACAGAGAATATATTAAAGAGTAGCTCAATTTTCTGCTCAGCAGAATCAGGAGGCAACATCAGATATTAATACTGATATATGCTTCAAGCACGTACTATATATTTTTTCTTGCTCTTCTTGAAACCCAAGTTAAAAAAAAAAACAGCTTCATAGTCTCAAATCTCGATGAATCTGGTATTGCAGAAGTTCCTACATCTGTAGTGAATGCTGAACAAAACAGTGACCATAAGATTATTTTTTTCGAGAAGTTTCTTGGTCTTGTCTTACTCAGTGAACTCAAAGATTTTGTAAGGATTTTCCACCAGAAACCTTGCCCAAACTTGTACTGCCTTCCAGAATTAAGTTGAGAAGAAGAATATGACTGGAAAGAGACTTAAATCTCTCAAAGGAAGGGTAAATTTTATTGTTTGATTGTATTATACAGTGTTCTGGACCTGATGCTATAGGCACATTCCCAAGAAAAATGAAAAGTCATGATAAAAACCTTATTACAATATAGAAATATTTGTGAATCACTTTAACATTTTGCTTTAGGGAAAAGTTAGTATTGTTCTTACTCTTGATAATTATTGGAGCCTCATTTTACTGATTTGCATAGAATATAGTACAGATGTTATTATGAGGCATGAGCAAAATATAGGGTGTTTAAAGTGTTGAAATTTTATTACAGTAAAAGAAATGTTGCTGGTGATGCCCCTCAAAAAAACCCCCTTCGCTTTGAACACACTTATCCTATTGTTCTTGCCACTGAAGCAGTCCTGGCAGTCCCCTTTCATGAGCACTATGTTTAATTGTGGCTGTCCTGATGTCCTAAATCCATTCAAAGCATTTACCTGTCATAGTCATTTTTGACTTTGGGAAATATCAGGAATCACATGGCGCAAGATCCAGTGAACAAGGTGGATGAATACCTGTCACAATATTTTACAAGAATGCCTGTTGGAGAACACTTGACAGCAGCATTCGCTGTACTTTTGTAGACTTTAGGACCTGCTTCAGAAAGCGGCAAGAACAATGATGCTATAAGTGTGCTCAAAACCAGGGGAGTATTTTAAAGGGAAGTAGTGGCACTGTGTCTGTTACTGTAATAAACTTTTAAAAAATATGAGTACTATCTGTATCTTTTGATCATCCTTTGTATAGATTAATTTCTAAATAATATAGTTAAAGGCAGGTCTTTTCCAGATTTCAAGTATTATCTGAGAAATATTTAAAATTTGCTACCTAAATTTCAACATTAGATATTAAACTACCTAAATTGAGAATGCCTGTGTGTGTGTTTGAGACCAAGGAATTGCAGTACCTTATGGAATCAAGCCCAGATTTGAGATCAGAAAAACAGGTATTGTGAGCTCAGCTCAGTGACTTAGGAGGTATGATGTATAATGAAAGTTCTCTCAGCCTCTGTAAGTTTCAGTTGTCTTAGCTATGAAATATGTCAAATAATGCCCATTTAATTGAGATAATGATGTTGAAGAACTAGTCCACAATATTTAATACATCATGAAAAATTTTTAAAATATGCAATTAATAAATAAGATGGTAGAAACTGATATGTCCTTAGAAAAGATCAGGTCATGTGTTCAGCAAGATGGGAAGGGAAAAATAAAAAGTTAGAACATTTTTTACATGATGACTTAATGTTCTAAGTTTATTTCTAACAGATTTATAATTAATTTTGCAATTGTCTTCTTCCTTCTCCTCCTCTTCCTCCTTCCCCCCTCCTCCTCGTCCTCCTCCTCATCCTCCTCGTCCTCCTCCTCCTCGTCGTCCTCCTCCTCCTCATCCTCCTCCTCCTCCTCCTCCTCCTCCTCCTCCTCCTCCTCCTCCTCTTCTTCTTCTTCTTCTTCTTCTTCTTCTTCTTCTTCTTCCTCTTCCTCTTCCTCTTCCTCTTCCTCTTCCTCTTCCTCTTCCTCTTCTTCTTCTTCTTCTTCTTCTTCTTCTTCTTCTTCTTCTTCTTCTTCTTCTTCTTCTTCATGTACTGGTCACCCTATCCTAGTTGATAAACTTGTCATTTTGAGACTTTTGCATGTAAGTGTTTAGCTCACTTTTCCCTTTATGTTACATATAAATATCATTTTTACTTGATGTTTGCAGCTTTCCCTCAAGATCCAGAAATCGAAATGAGCGGTCTACTAGTGAGTGGGACCCCTGTCACCATAAGCTGCAAGGTTCCTCTTGTGTACCCTTCTGGTCACTTGGAGATTGAAATACATAAAGGGGAAACTCTTATGGTGAATAAACACTTTTTGGAGGAAATGAACATAAAATCCCTAGAGAACAAAAGTTTGGAAGTGACCTTCACCCCCACCTCTGAAGATACTGGAAAAGTTCTTGTTTGTCAGGCTAAGTTACATATTGGTGAAGTGGAATCTGAACCCAAACAAAGGCAGAGTACACAGACACTTTATGTCAATGGTAAGTACATATGTGATGTACCCATAACTTACTATTGATTTCTTTATCATGTTTACCAGGCGATAGTTAACATAAGGTTAATAGTTAAAATATCCATGAAAAAAATAACTGGAAAGAAAATTGGGAATAATTATTACTGCTCTTCATGTAAAATAATGATGAATCTATGAGTTGGCATTGGGGGGGCATGCTAGCTGAGCAGTTATTTTGCTCAGTGTGGTGTCAGCTGAGTTCACTTGTGCATTTTCAGTAAGGGCTGCCAGGCTGGCCGGTATCAGGTGGCATCGTTCCAATGACTGACATGTTCAGGTGCGCCCCTTCTTTCCATGGTATCACCTCATGGAAATTAGCTTAGACTTACTCTCAGAGCACAGCATTTCAAAAAGTAGCCTCTTAAAAACATGAGTTCAGGAGTTCAGTAGTGTCACCTTGTCCATCTTCAATTGGTCAAAGTGAGTCACGAATGCAGCCCAGATTCAGACAGAAAAACAGGCTCCGTTTTTTCATAGAAGGAACTGAAATGTTGTAGACATTGAAACTCGCTGGAACTCAGGAGGTGCAGTATCAGCTAACAGATGCCTCTGTCTTCTTAGTTGCCCCCACAGATACCACTGTCTCGGTCAACCCCTCTGCTGTCTTAGAGGAAGGAAGTTCTGTGAATATGACATGCACTACCCGTGGCCTTCCATCACCAAAAATTCTGTGGAGCAGACAGCTCAGTAATGGAGATCTACAACCTCTTTCTGAGAATACCACCCTCACCTTAATTTCTACAAAAATGGAAGATTCTGGCATTTATGTGTGTGAGGGGATTAATGAGGCTGGAAGAAGCAGAAAAGAAGTTGAACTAATTATCCAAGGTAAGTAGTGTGTGATTTTAAATTATCATTCATAGCATTTTTGGTTGTTATGAAGAAGTCCTTTTTGAAAACAGCATTTTTTGCTTAAAAAAGGTACAGATGGCTCTTTAAAAGGTCGTGATGTTTCCTATGTATAGAGATCTGCTTGAACCATACCAAGTCACTTATGCTGACATTCTTTTAACCACACGTGAAGCTCCAGGAATTGTGCCAGGAGTTCTAGTGACACTCATGAGACCATGGTTATGGTGCTGAAATAAGGATAGGAAGAGATATGTATCACAAATTACTCAGGAGTACAACCAACACACTGGGATGAAGTAGATACTGAGAAGCAGTCTCACAGGATGACTGCCAGCGTTTGCTTAGAAGCCCAAGAAGCTTAGGCAGCTTTTGTAAATACTGATGAAAAAAAATAGCAGTGACTATGTATGCCGTCTTGTCTATCAGTCTGGTGGCATGGAACCACCAGAGGGGATCACATCATTAGATATATGCCTCTCCTTGAGGTGGAGACTCAAAAATTGATAACAAAACAATTTCTACTTGGCACATTAAAGCCACAGTGATGAGCAAGATCATGAATTGATCTATTTGGTTTATCCCCGCCCCCTTCCCTTCCCTTTTGGCCATTAGGGTTAGTTGCCTTCTTCACCACAGCACACGTTTCCTCTTGTACCCCTTGATATTATTCTCATTGAAGCGTTCGTGACTTATTGTGACTTCATGTCAATGAGATTTGCATTTTAGAAGGAATTTAGAAGTGAAATTTATAACCTTAAAGAAAATCTTTACATTGGCTGTCATGGCACTTTGGCCTTGAATAAAAACTCTCAAATGAAGCCATTAAATTGATGACTTTAATAGAAATCTCAGTTGTAAAATAGTGATACAATACTTCCCTTCAAGAGTGACTACATTAATGGAGATGTTGCATATTGAGGATTTAGACCAGTCCTTAGGACTTGATATGTAGTAGCTGTATTTTTAGAGAAGTAAAAAAAAAAAATCTTTTTACAGCTTAAATTCTTGATCTGGGAGGCCCCTATGAAATACAATTATTTGTGCTAGGCCGGGTAAAGAAGTGTATTACAGGAAATGAAGAAAGCATGTTATCTCCGAGTTAGAACTTGAACTTTCATGAAAAACCACAGTAAATGCTTGATTTTTTGCCTTTAATATTTCATATGAACAGTAAACACTAATAGAAGCTATTGTTGATGTCATTAAATTAATGGCATTGGTTTGAACTTCATTGAATCAAGAGATACTTTTAAAATTCTCTTTTCAGTTGCTCCAAAAGACATTCAGCTTACAGCTTTTCCTTCTGAGAGTGTGAAGGAAGGAGACATGGTCATTATCTCTTGTACATGTGGAAATGTTCCAGAAACTTGGATAATCCTGAAGAAAAAAACAGAGATGGGAGACACAGTGCTAAAGTCTATAGATGGTGCATACACCATCCACAAGGTGCAGTTGGAGGACGCAGGAGTGTATGAATGTGAATCTAAAAATAAAGTTGGTTCAGAATTAAGAAGTCTAACGCTGGACGTTAAAGGTTGGTTTTTTTGTTTTGTTTTTCATAAATTTTTGTAGTTGTGCAAGGAGTCCATGGACGGTAGCGACTTTCTAATATTAGATAAATGACTTAGCAAAATGAATTCTGTGTTCACTATGTTTATTTCTTAATGTCCTTCAAAATAATCAGGCACAGCTGTTCTGTCCTATAGAGTTTAGTCAGGAAGTTGATGTTAATCATTGGTGAAAGTGGAATTCCTATTTACTTTTTCAAAGTTAACAATTTGTCATTGGTCTCTAAGGTCTTGCTTTTACTCTGCTTAACCATTTATTCACAACTTTTCACTGGGAATTAAAAGGAAACTATAGAGGTAGGATTGGCACATCAAGAAAAATAATTCTTTATAGATCCTTTTCCTACCTGAAGGGAATACTATTTTTCAATATGGAGTAACTGATTCTTTTCGAGATTGTCATTGAAAGTAGCAATCCCATCCCGAGCAACATAAAAAGATTTCCAGATTGCCGAATAGGTTTCTTTAAAATACACACCCTGACCATCCTACCCTTTTCTAGTAGAAAAGTGAGGACCATGGTCACATCAGAGAATTTTGGGGCCCAAAGAATTCCCTCTGCTCTCTTTTGAATACTATGATCTTATTGGTGTAAGCAGAACATGTCAACCATGACTAATAAATCTCATGTTCCTTGCACACTGTTGAGCTCTCAGTGTGTACTGGAAGCCACATTTGGTGAACACAACTGCAAATGTCACCTCTCTAGAGGTCTACTACTTGACTATCAGCAACCTCTTTGCAATGTAGGGAAAATTTGAACCTATGTTAGAAAACAGAAAAAATATTACTGATCTGGCCAACTTTCTCAAGATTGCAAGACTTGTATATTTTCTGGCTTTACAGTACTTCTTTAAACTATGACATTATCAGTACTTTCATCTGGAAACATTAAAGAAGGGGAAAGTATCACAATTACATGTAAAACTTTTAGTTAGCCACCTGCAGTGATTATCCTGAGAAGTGTTGATCTGACCAATGAAGTTACCTTATGTTCAAACAATGGAACATTTACCTTGTAATGTGTCACTCAAAATGATTCCGGGATATATGCAGTTAGTGCTTTCAGTGAGGTGGGGCATGACACTGGATGAACTGAGATTTCAGTTATTAGTAGGTTGAACTTATTCTTTCTTGTTTTCTCCTATCCTTGAAGGTTCTGGCAACCTTTAACTTAGCTTAATCCCAGGAAATTGAACTCCTACATTTCTGTAATTCTGTTTGTAATTAATTCTTCTCTTTTAAAGACACATTAAATTTTCTTCATATTTTAATTTTCTCTTTTGCATACTATCTTTTCTAATTGCTTTGCTAAATAATCACTCCCTTACTTGTCATTTTTTCTCCATTATTTAAATGAGCAACCAAACAATCTTAGGCACCCAAATTGAATATGGCTTAAAATAGCTGGATGTCATCAAAGTCAAAAAACTGAAAATCTCCTGGACATTTTAAACTAGTTTTGCTTTGCATTTTCTCAGGTTTTTAAAATTGTTTTGTTTTGTTTTGTTTTGGCTTGAATACATTTCATTGATGGAAACATTAAGGTATTATTAATATTTTCAGTGTTTATACAGCCGGTAAAAAGTTTTATTAGAAGAATGCCCTCGCAACATACTGAGCAGCAAATTTGAGATTTTTTGCAGATCCTAGAGGGAAAAACTGAAAGGACAAATATAATATTTATTAGATTTTTAAAAATAGGGACAGAAATAACTTTGCGTAGCATGCCATCAATATTAAATCCTAACCATAATCGCGATAATGAGTATCCCATTAAAATATCACTCATAATCCTTGACTGGCTCAGTCAAGGGAAAGCAGGAAAATGAGGCAATTATTATTATGTTTAAGGTGAAGTATTTGTTATTTGAAAAAAAAATCACTTCATATCAATTGATAGTAATGTTTTGTTACTTGAGTGACTGTATTTAGAAAGCTCTAGAAGAAATGCAGTAGTGACCAGATTCAGAGCACTACTTCCTGCCAAGATGGAGGCAGCATGTATGCCACTTTGTCAGACTTAACTATGATGTCACATAATGCTGTGCAAAGTATAAATAGAAGCCAGTCTTTGTAAATGCTGTGGTTTTGTTTCCTCAGATATTCTCACAGGGTTCAGATGTGAAATAGTATTGCAGTTGTCAGATGATTTTTTTTTTTTGCAGTGTTGAGATCCTCACACATGCTAGGCAAGCACTCTACCACTGAGTCACACTCCAGCCCACTAATTTTAAAGCTTTTTTCACATTGTTATCTTGTACTCCATTCACAAGTGAGGGTTTAGAAAGAAAAAGATTAATGTTAAAAACATTTTGGGGGTACCAGTTATGACGACTAGTGAGTCATTGAGCACTGGACTAAAAACAGTAGTACACATAACTGACTGTATGTAGTTTATAGTCAGAAGAGGGAACCACATTTAACAGGTAAATCCTATGGATGAGCATTTAATGGGAAGCCAAGGCAAGGTCTATAAAGAAAGTGTCCTGAGTGGATTTTGAGAGTATGTTGGGATTCTTAATTTAGACTGGGAAGATGTAGATCAGACAATGCTTCTCTGAATAAGTAACATTTATGTTGAACATGATAACTATCCAAGTACTTTCAGCAAATTGAGAGACTGTAAATAACAAAGAGAAATAATACATATTATGATGCATTTAATTCAGTCATACAACACACACATTAACAGAAAAATCTACAATCAAGAGTTGTTTCTCTTAATGTCCTAATTATGGTGTTTGACTATGATGGTCATACTCTAAATATTATAAGGATTTTCTTAGGAAAAATGGTTAGTTATCTCAACCCATGGTGATCAGAGTCTCAGTACTTTAGTAGATATTCCTACATCTCAAAGCAAACACCCTCTCCAATTTCTGCTTTTGTGAAGGATCCCTAAAATCTTGCACCTCTCTTCCATTTCACACTTGAAAGCAAACTTCTTTTAATTCAAGTAGCAATCACCAACTAATTATTCAGATACTTTAAAGAAATATGCATCTGAGGTCCTTTTGTTCTTTATCACACTGGTTTGGTTCCTTTCTCTTTAGAGAACTAGTTGTACTGTTACATTAAAATGTGTATTATTATTGAATGATTTCTTTTTGTACTAGACATTAATTACATTCATTTGCTTATTTTCTAGGAAGAGAAAATAACAAGGACTACTTTTCTCCCGAACTTCTTGTTCTCTACTGTATATCCTTCTTAATAATACCTGCCATTGGGATGATCATTTACTTTGCAAGAAAAGCCAACATGAAAGGTTCATACAGTCTTGTAGACGCACAGAAATCAAAAGTGTAACTAACATTTGAAATGTTCAACCAGGGACACTACTTATAAATCAAAGAATACTGCTCATCATTCCACAAGAAAAACAAAGAGCTGAGTTCAGTCTTCTCAGAATGTGTTAAAAACAGAAAAGAATAGCCGTCTATGCCCCTTGCTGTGAGCAAGAAGCCAGCGGAAAACTTGATGCCTAAAAAAATCACGGCTATTGGGATGAGACAGCTGGAAGAGGTTCTCTCATGTGTACATACAATAATATACTCTGTACATATGTAAAATAAAATTATGCCATAGGAAGGTTGCTTGGAATAGCAGCACTCTATATTCAGATCTTAAGAATAATTAAACATTTTTCTTGGACTGACTGTTAATAACTTAATATATCTGTGGGAAATCTAATTGTTAATGTTGACCGGCAGCTGACCTAAGTGATCTCTCTAATGTTTTATTTCCTATAACAAAATCTTATTCTTTCAAAGTTTATTGAAATAATTTCATGTTTTGTGAAGAAGCTAGGGACTCACATTTGCGCAGGCAAATGATAAAGAGGGCACTGGGCTGGCTTTTGGGTACTAAATACCTCAACCTACGGCGTACTGGTTGACCGGGCTTCTTCGTATGGTACTGGCATGGTACGGAGACATTTTATGTTTGTGTAACTCAGAATCTTGTGTAACTTCACTGGTGGAGTTTTAAAATGCAACTTCTTTTTATTTTCTTTTGTAATGTTTAGTTTTTTTGTATAGTAAAGTGATAATTTCTGGAATTGAAAGGGTTGTGTGTTTATTATAAGGGTCTCTTTTAATTATGTTGTCGCCCCTTGTGAAATGCCCCTTTAAAGGGTGAAAAATTCAAACTATGGAAGTCACACGCATATTCAAAAAGTGGTCTTCGGATTACTTTTATCAAAATTACCATGGGAACCTGATAAAAGTTCAGATCTCTTGGTGTCATCATACCCTAATAAACTCACTTATCTGGTTTTGAGTTCCTGAAAACTGTGACTTTTCAGTTAAAATGTATATAGCAATAGTGCTGAAACTTTTGAGACCAAATGCCAAACTTTAACCAAGTATCCATTTCTTTCTAAAAAAATCTCAGAATGCCAACACTGCACTAAAACCTGAATACTGAGGTCTTGGTTTAAAAAAAAAAACTCTACATTAACACCTGTTGTTTTAAAAGAAAAACACAATAATATGAATGCAATAGGTTCGCCACCACTGATATACAGTGCCCAGAAAAAGAGTAGACGCAGATACCCGTGAGCATGCTTGCTGTCAATCAAGGAACATCTCTGCACATATCACCATGTTCAAGAGGCAGAATACTACCATTTTTCAAGGCCTCCTATGTGACACAAACTGGCATCTAATAAACACACATGCTGGTAACTCTGAGAAGTAACCAATAAATATTCAAGTTATATATTGATTATTTCCTTTCTTTCTTTGGAGGTTTTATACCTATATAAATGTTCCTAAACAGTACCTTCTTTAGTTTTGTTGATTTTTGAATTTTGTACCAATATAACCAAATACGAGAGTGCCTCATATTTTATTACTGGAAAGTTTTGTTGCAATTTACCTACTCTATGGATGGATATGTGGGGTCTTAACAGTCTTTTCTGTTATGAGAAAAAGCTTCTGTAAATATTATTGTAAGTTTTCTTGGCTAGTATTTGCAAAAATGTACCAAAGGTCCAACAGTTTCTCCAGCACATATTCTGGGCTGTAGTATACATACAGGTCAAAGTTTACAGGGAAAGCTAACCTGTGTTCCGAAGTGGTTGAGCGGGGGATATAGCTCGGTGGCACTGTGCCTCCTGAAGTAGTTGAAATAATTGACACTTCAATGAAAGTGAATAAAAGCTCTCAATATTAAGCAGCCTGTCAAATGGGCATTTTCTGACTTTAACTTTCTCCCTTATAGGTATTTCCCTGATTATTTGTGAGACTGAACACGTTTTCATATAGTTAAGGACCTTTTGGGGTTTGTATCATTTTATCTGTGAAATAGCTATGCATTTCTTTTGCTTGTTTTTTAGAAGCTGGCAATATTATTTGTATTAATTCACACACATAGAGAGACACCCACAGGCACACCCACACGCGCTTTCCCTGGACTCTAGTTTTTTGTTGGTTTTAAGTTTCTCAAACATTCTTACTGAGTTTGTACTTCAGTATCTTGCTTGTGACCTTTTTGTGGCCTCATTTTCTTCTTGGTATCTTTTTTAAAGGATAATTTTATATTCAGTGTGGCTAAAAGTGTTAATATTTCCATTTTGGCTTTATTTTCTCACGTCACATTTATGAAATCCTTTTCTACTGTAAGGCAGAAAATTCTTTCATTCTGTTTTTGAAAAGTGTGTAACTTTACCTTTAATTTTTTCAGGGATTTTGTTTTTCTGACTCAGAATTCATTTTTGTATATAATGCACAGTACTGTTACAATTTTACGTTTTCAGATGATAAAACAAGAATGCCTACACTACTTATGAAAAGTTTTGTTGTTTCTTCTCACAAATCTGCAATACCACTTTTCATATATTCATGTCTTTGAGGATCTATTTCTGGGCTCACTGTAGTGAGTTCTTCAGGTATTTGTCTATTCTTGTGTCAGTGGTACCCTACACTAATTATACTTAATGAGGGTCTCCAATAAGGAGACAGAACCTTTTCCAATGGGAAGGGAAACAAGAGATGGAGGAAGGAAGGGGTGGAAGGGCTAAAAACAGAATCAAAATGTGTTCTGCACATGTACCACTCCCCACTGTAAATGTAATCATTAAGTCCTGAAAACATGCACAAATTTAAAAAAGAGAGAGGAGTGTTTAGAGGAGGGTTGATAGCAGTGTTTTTTTTTACTGTAATACATTTTTAAATTAAAGAACAATCAACTCTGTTTTAATTAAAATAAAATATTGTGAACAAATTTTTTCTCGTTCTACAAACATGTCTTATTTTTCTACTTTTTGTATTTTCATACAAATTTTTAAGTAATTTAGTTAAGTCATGAGAATACTATTAAGATATTGACTAAAACTGTATTGGCTCTATAGATCATGTTAGATTGAAGTAGCATTTCTTAAGTATTGAGTCTTCCAACTCAAGAACAACACGTTTTTTTTTTTTAATTTTATTTAAAAGGAAAAAGACAAAACAAAACAAAACAAAACAAAGCGGTGTAAGGGTACAAGTAATACAGAACTACAAAAAAAAAAAAAAAAGTAAGAAATCACCAGTTAATAGATTACACATTATTGTCTTAGAGATAGTTGCTCAAGTCACAGTATCAAAGCATACAAAGTGAATATTCAAACAGAGAGACTGCAAACAGTTGTGTTCAATGATCCAACCAAAAACAGTAATATGGTCAGCTATTTAACACCCCTAAACACACTTGCAGTTGTATACTTTAGAGCACTTTTTTCCCCTCTCTTTTTTACAACGAAATTTACACATTTTGGGTTTTATTATTCCTTAAGGAACAACACGTTTTTAATATGTTTATAATATGTTTAAATTATCACTGATACCTTGTATCATTTGTAACATTGTATCATTTTTTGTAATCTTGTAAATGTCTTGTTTCTCTTTTAAATATATTTCTAAGGAGTTTAAAACTTTTGCACTATTATTCATGGTATATTAAAAATTGTAGTTATTGAGTCATATTGTCACACAGTAGAATTAAGTACCTTCACAATAAGAAATAATTCTATCATTTCAAAATTTCCTGCAGGCATCAGTATAGCAAGACTTACCTCCCATCATACACCACCAGCGCCACACACACTTTTGATTCTTGGCCAACACTGATCCATTTTCTGTCACTGTAATCTTGTCTCTTCTAGAATTTCATATTAATGACATTATACAGCATATAGTCCTTTACAGCTGTCTTCCTTCACTTAGTTTAATGCTTCTGAGATTCATCTATATTATTATGTGTACCAATCATGTGTTCTTAGTGTTGGAGCATATTTTTGAATGCTCACAGTAAAATTATTTATTCTTCAATTGGATCAATTTTGTTAATTATAATTTGGGGATACTGTTAATAATTTGGTACAAACATTCAAACACATATTTATGGGTATGTATATTTATAAAGATAAGAGGGAGAGACAGAGATACAGACAGAGACAGAGAATGGGGAGATATTCTAGCATTGCTCAAGTATTGACAACTGCATGAACATATTTTTGAACTTTCTGTTTTGTTCTATGGATTGGGATGCCATGCATTTACCAGTACTCAATATGTGTTACAACATGCGTTACAACTTTATAGCAAGTCTTGAAATCAGGCAGTATGAAGCCCCTAACTTTACCTTTCAGAAAGATAATGCTATGCTTGGCTACGCTTGATTTTTGAATCGCCATATAAATTTTATAATCTTGCTAATTTCTATTTAAAACACCTACAGGTATGTTGACCAGAGTTTCATAGACTCTACTTAATTTGGGAAGAATGGTCATAATACTGAGTCTTCTAGCATGATTATTATGAACTCTATTTTTTGTTCTTTGATCAGTATCTTGTTATTTCTATTGTATAGGTCTTATACACCTTTGGCTAAATTTTAAATATTGCACGTTATCAATGCTATTGTAAGTGACACTGACTTTTAAATTTTAATTTTTAATTACTTGTTGCAAATATATGGATATACCATTGATTTTGTATGCTAATTGGGTAGTAATAATAAAGAATATTGATCTATAGCTTCTTTTCTAGTAAAATATTTCCTCAGCTTGGGTATCAGGATAATACTAGATTCCTAAGATGAATTAGAAAATATTTCCTACTCAGATTTCATGAAGAGTATATGTAAAGTTGTATTATTTCTTCCTTACTGTCGTATTGAATTTATAAGACAAGACATCAGAGTCTGGAGCAATTCTCATGGGAATGTGTTTAAGTATGAATTCAACTTCTTTCAATAGATCATGGAATATTTCAGCTCCCCATGTTTTGTTGAGTAAGCATTTTTTGATTGGTATTTTCAAGAAATTTTGTAATTTCATCTCTGTTTATTTTCTCTGCATTAAGATATTTATAATTCTATGCATTATAGGCTTTTTTCTATGCTTAATCTTGGTAACTTGTATTTTCTTTTTCTTTGGTCAGTCTGCCTAGAGTTTTATGTATAGTTCTTTGAAAAGAACTAGCTTGTGGTTTCTTTGACACTTATCTACTTTTTTGGGTTTTCTGCATGTTACAAGGGTTCAAGTGAGTCACAATACAGTGCTGATGAAAAAGAAACTGCAGTAGCTGAATCTATCAAAGTGAGGCCCCGATGGCTAAGACCTGGGAAACTAGCAATCATCCAACTGAAAACACCTCGTTTAACTTAGTTGCTGTTCTTGCTGAGATACCTGGACTTGGTGTTCCTTCAAGAAGAAGCTGAGTCTCAAAGTCTGACAAGCCTTCTTGGTGATGAAATCTACCATCATCTAGAAGGAGATCACAAGAAACAGTCTTTTGAGGAGTCCATAAGAACACTGATGACAGTTTAAGATTTCCATATTCTCTTATGAAGACCCCTTCTCAAGAAGGACTGACTACTTGGGTGTCATCTCTTGTATCTGGAGCTATGTCTAAAGTGAAAAGTAGTTTAAGTTTGAATACAAGTCCGTCCCCTTCTCTTTCAGACTTTGGGAATCAAAGCCATCAAAAAAAACCCAGAGTCTTTTAGCAACAGAGACCTATAAGAGCATCATGGAGGAGTACAACAAATTGGATAAATAACAGTGCAATG